CCAAGTGTCCCTCTTTAGTTTGTCCGGCTTACTTCTGTCAATCCAAACCCAGGCTCAAGATCAAGCCTCCCTCCACCGCTCCAATGACCCCTCTGGACATTGTCATTACACCTTTACTGTGGCCAGTCCACAAGAGTCCAGCTGCCCTGGAAGCGACCGCGAGATGGATGGAGTCTTGTCCAGGCTCACCCTGCTCGAAGCTTTGGTCAGCCGTCTCCTAGCAGGAGTAGACAAAGGCACCATGACTGGGGTTGGAGCTAATAGAGAAGAAGGTCTCCAGGAAGCTTATTCCCAGGTTACTGGGAAAGAAACCAGCTGCAGCAGGATAAGGAGCGTCTAAACAGGCAGATCCAAGAGCTGCAGAGGAGGTTGGCTGAGCTGAGCCAGGAGGCAGAGAGCCTCAGGCAGAAACCCTGCCAGCAGACACTCACCTCAGTGGGCACTCAGCATGAAAACAGACCAGCCAATGGTATGTACCAGTCAGGGGGTAACGGGAAACCACACAAATAAAAAATGATCTTAGTTAAAAGATTGTCAATCACAAAAGAACACATTTTTTAACCACAAAATCATACAAATTCAAAATAATGCTTTTTAAAAAAATAAAATAAAATCTGTGAAGAAACATATTTTATGCAATTTTTGCCAGCTCTAATGTTTGTTTGTTTTTTTCAGAATAAATGTTTCTGTGGTAGACTCGTGCTTTGAAAAGTCTAAAGAGGCAGAGACAGGCTGGCCTGCAGTTAACTGTCCCCAGTTAAGTAAGGGGATAGGAATTTTTACCACAGTCTTTTTTTATGGCTTCGTCACTCATGTTGATGTTTACACAAGTGTGATTATTTTCAGGGTTAGAGCATCAAGCACTCTGAGGAAAAAACAGGGACCTTACAACTTTGAGGTTAAAGTGTTACTTTTGAGTTTTGCTCAGAATTTGTATTTCTCTCCCAGATCCCACATATGACTTTGGGAATAGTGGATATCAGGAGATGAAAGCTGAAGTGACAGAGATCTCTGCATCCCACGTCTTCCATGAAGGAAGTCACAACTTCACAGGTAGCGTTTTACTGGAGTTGTTGGAATCGAGCATTATAGCTTTTAAGCAAATTAAAATTTAGAGTCTAAATTAAAGTAACTTGCTTTTTTCCCTCAGGTTGTGGAGAGTTAGTGTCAGTGGGAGATCCTGTGTCACACAGGAAATCTGACAGTATCACAGGGAAGTATGGTGTGTGGATGCAGGATCCAGAGCCTCAAGGCCCTCAGTACACCAACAACACTGTGTGGGGTATTGATGCAGTGAGAAGAGATGTGCGTCACCTCTTTGCATATGAAGACATGGATCAGTTCTCCCGAGGTTTCCCAATGAAGGTGCTGGTTTTGCCAGAGCCTGTGGAGAGCACAGGGGCAACTGTGTACCGAGGCTCCCTTTACTATCAGCGAAGACGCAGTCGGACACTGATTCGCTACGACCTGGCTTCTGAATATCTGGCATCCCGCATGGACCTGCCTCATGCCGGCTTCCATGGCCAGCACCCTTATTCCTGGGGGGGCTACACTGACATTGACCTAGCAGTGGATGAACAGGGTCTGTGGGCAATCTACAGTACAAGTAAAGCAAGGGGTGCAATTGTAATTTCACAGCTGAACCCCGAGAGCTTGGAGGTGAAAAAGACCTGGGAGACTAATATTAAGAAGAACACAGTGGCCAACGCTTTCATGGTGTGTGGACGTTTGTACACAGTTGCTAGCTACACTGTTCCCAACACCACCATCAACTTTGCGTTTGATACAGCCACTGGTGTGGGACAAGCTGTCTCCGTGCCCTTCAAAAACAAGTACAGTTACAACAGCATGGTGGACTACAACCACGCTCAGAGGAAGCTGTATGCCTGGGACAACTTCCACATGGTCACCTATGACATCAGACTGGGCAGGGCCAGCCATGGCAGGAGCTAGAGAGGACACAGAGAAGGACTGCTGTTGGCAGGACTGATGCAACAACAAGTGATAGAGATGAAATAAATAATCATTTCAGGTGCTTTGTCAAGGCTGTGCTATCAATGTGTTTTGAATTTTACAGTATTTCTGTGACATTAGTATCATAAATAAGGAGTGGCATAAAAACAAAGAACTATTCATACAGTAAAGCTGTTCAGTGTGGTTATGTGATATTGTTACTGATGGCTCATGAAACAGAATTGTAATCTGCAAATGTTATTTTTTTATTTAAGATATGAATTTATGAAATAAAGTTTTTGTTTTCTGGATTGCATTTTGAAAATGTAGTCACAACCAAGCACTCATGTCCTCAGCTGCCAAAGCCACAAACTGCAGCGTTCCAACTGCTGACTATAGCTGCCTCAAAGAGCAAGTTAGTAGACTACAGTGGTTACAATACCTAAATTTAGAGCTGACTGTGCTGTGGTTCTCAGATTTACTGCTTTTTGTAGATGTACACAACTGAATTGAGCAGGACGTAATCCAACATTTCACAAGCCATCTCGGTTGATTTGCATCCTCTACAATGACAGCATACTCTTCAGAATAACTTTAAATTAGACCTGGTTAGCATAAAGGTGGAATTCAAAGAATGAAGCTCAAAGCTAAATTATTCTCTGCTACACTTTATGTAACCTACAGAGCATGAGCACCACAACCCCTGTGAAACAGTCCAATACAGGTTAAAGGATACAGGATGTTTCATAAAATAAAATAAAACAAAAACAAAAACTTCACATCATACAAGCACATTTCCTGTTCATCAAATGCCCCCGAGCAATTCTAACCATTAAATATAACTGTTCTTCCTCTCCTATCTATCTTGTATTTCTTCATCTCTGAGTGCAGTCAGTTGTTATTCTTTTCACTACCCCATGAAATACAGCAGCAGGATGTTTAGCTAGCAACACACTGTGACAGCGGTCCACAAACCTGACCTGATAGAAATGTTACATTTCAAATTACCTGACACTTTAATAACATGTTACTCCCTTTGTACTTGCTCCTCATCTTTATTGCTAACTTGATGCTGAAATACCAAGACCAATTCCATATAGGAACAGTTTAGTGCTATAGATTCTGCATAAATTATCTTTGTGCATCTTTCATTTCGTTGTATGTTGTAAGCGTTGGTGATGGCTAAACCAATAGGATTGTCTTTTATGTCTCATTGTTCCCTTCATTTAGGCACAAATCTGTTTTAAGGTGCACAGTACCGGGAAATAAAAACTTACCTCAAATGCGTTAAACCTAATGTAACAAGCTGTTTTGAAAATATAAGGAGTAGAAAGCACAGACCTTTTATTTTAAGCTCCTTTTTGCTAGCCAAAGTTAGCATCCTAATGAAATAAACAAGCTAGCTGGAAATAGCATTAGCTGGCATCGCCCACGTTCATTAAAATATGGTTACGTCTTCATTAAACAAAAACAAACCATGCCACGTAGAATCAGCACCAGCAAAGGAGCTCAGCTTTGGAAGCTAATGTGCTGTTTATTACCTACAACCTCAACCACAGGCTTATCTACAGGCAGCATTAGCCAAGTTAACTTATGTCATAAAATAAGGACAACCTTAGTCCATTCTAATACTTAATACTACTGTTAGATGGGCTGGACTGTGGGTTCAGAGATCCTTCCTCGTTGTTATGCTACTTCCTGAAAAATATAATTTTTCATTAAATAGAAATATTGCCCATTTTCAATTTGAGGGCAACAACATCAAAAAAGTTGGGACTGGGCAACAAAAGGATGGAAAAGAAGGTGGTACTAAAAAGAAACAGCTGGAGAAACATTTTGCAGTTAATTGGGTTAATTGGCAACAAGTCGGCAACATGACTGGGCATAAAAATAGCATCTTAGAGAGGCAGAACGTCTTAGATGAAAATATGAGCAGAGGTTGACAATCACCAAAAAACTGTATCTACAAATTGTAGAACAATTTTAGAGGAATGTTCCCGTGTAAAGTTGCAAAGAAATCATTCAGAGTACATAACGTCATCAAAGGTTTCTGGGAAGCACTGTGTGCAAAGGACAAGCCTGAATATCATTGCTGAATTTCTGAATGTCTGCACTGAATTTAAAAAAGTATGATTCTGTCATGGAAACCATTGCATGAACTCATTCACTGTCTGTGAACGTATTCACCGTGCCATCCACAAACATAGGTTAAAGCTGTCGTGCAAAGAAACCTTTCTGAATCCAGGAAAGAATTGAGGCCAAGAGAAAAACTGTTCTCTGGTTAGGCAAATCCAAAATTTACATTCTTTTTGAAAAACATACGCCATGTCCTCCCAACTAAAGACGAGGGGGACCATATTATCAGTGCTCAGTTCAAAAGGGTTGCATTAGCCCTGCGGAATTAGCAGCTTTCGCATCAGGAAAGGCCCCATCAGCATGATTACTGAGTGCAGGTTTTAGAGCAACACATGCTTCCATCCAGTCCAATTTATTTTCAAGATTGCCCTGCATATTTCAGCAAGACAATCTTGATGCACATACTGCAGCTATTACAATAGCACAACTTTATAGTAGAAGAGTCTGGGTGCAGAACTCGCCTGCACTTCAGATCTTTCACCAACTGAAAACATTTCAAGCATCATCAGAAAATATCTGTCCATCTTCTTCCACTTATCCGGGGGCCGGGTTGCGGGGTCAGCAGCCTAAGCATAGAAGCCCAGAACTCCCTCTCCCCAGCCTCCTCCTCCAACTTATCCGGCAGGCCAACCAAGAGATGTAATCTGTCCAGCGTGTCCTGGGTCTGCCCCAGGGCCTCCTCCCAGTGGGACATGCTCCCAACACCTCACCCAGGAGGCATATTTGGCAGGCCCCTCACTTTCCGAGAGAAAAACATACTGCTTTTAAAAGAAGACGGGATTTGTCTTACAGCTCTAAACATGGCTCTGGCAAAACTTTTTTGAGGCTTGTTGCAGCCATCAAATTCAAAATGAGCTAATATTCTTCTTGTAATTATATATTTTCTCTTTGTAAACCTTTGATATGTTTTCCATGCTGTATTGTGATTAAAATATAATTTCCTTGTATTTTGGCTTTAGTTACATTTTACATTTACAGGATATCAACCTTATTTTGGAATTGAGGTTCTAAGATACACAGTATATTCAATAAATGTACTCCTCCTTTTATAATTACAGAAAGCCTTCAGAAAATTGTTCCTATTTAAACACAACTGTGTTCTTTAAATTTAGATGATAAAAGTTTAAATAATATGAGTATATGTATTCACACGATGAAACTGAAAGAGATGAGGTTACTTCTGTCACATTTCTTGGAGTAATAAAACCGCTAACAGACACGCGCCCACACGTCAGCTCACCTGCATTATTTGAAAGTCAATAAAAATGAGCAGCTTTGCTTGAAAATATCCCACGTTCCCACTTACAACCTGAGCACAACTTGTCACACTTTCCAGCTGTTTATGTAGGCTACACACGCATCTGCTCTCTTAACCTGTTCAACATGTTAACTCCAAACCCACATGTATCGAGTGTAATGATTTCTGTAACAACTGCTTGCTTTGGAAGTGGTATTCGGTGTGTTAAAAAGGAGGCGGTGGCAGCAGTTTATCAACACTGTAAGATGAGATGGAATGTGTTACCGTGCAATGACAGTCAGGAGACTCAGCAGCAGCAGCTGATGGAAACTTGGTTGAGTGTGAGTTGACTTTCCCCACAACAATGTTCACACAAACACACTGTGGCTAAGCCACATGAAAAACAAACACAGAAAAAATTCTCACATCATGAAGTGTGTCAAGGGGGAAGTCTCTTTTTTATACCACAGTTTAAACTTTCACACACACTCAAAAAAAAAGAAGTAATTTTTCAAGATAGAAAATTTAATTAAATAAATTCAACATTGGTTTCAGGCTTGTGAAATTAAGTCCATGCATTATCAATAGTGATGTGCAAACAAGCAGCTTAATGGAGGTAAAACATTTAATACTTCTACTTCAAAATAAAAGTAAACACAAAGACAAACACATAACGCTGATACAGATTTTTTTAAAACATATAAGAATCCTAAAATAACATCAATAATCAGGAATTTCAGAATTACCCACTCATGTTCAACATTTTCCTACATGCACACACACCTAAACCTGACCTAATGTTTCCCATCTATCATCCAGAGTCCATCGCAAGCCCTGTTCAGCCTCTCTCCCAGGCCAATGAGCAGCGCGTCCTGCAACCAGTCCCAAGTCACCCACAGTCTTTCCACCAGACTGTACTGGCAGTAGCCCATGGCCAAGCCAAAGCCCACATCTGTCACATAGTGTCTTGCAAGCAGCAGTCGGGACAGGCTCACCAAAGCAGCCCACCCCACCACCAGGAGCCGCATGGAGTCTGTGTCCACCAGCTGGGCGAGGAAGAACCGGGCGCACATGGCCGCCCGTGAAGCGTGGCCGGAGGGAAAGGAATAGCGCTCCACGAAGAAGGTGGAGAGGATCTCCGAGCGGTTCTGGGTGGGCATGCGACGTCTGACCAGAGTCTTCACAAGTCTGACAAGCAGCAAATCCAAAATCAGAGCTGTGGGGAGGAAGGAGTAGTTTTTAAAGTTGAGGATGTAAATAACAACAAGATTGCATTAGATATATATTAGTTTACAATAATAACAATTATTATTATTATTAAATATTAGTATTAGTATTACATTTTCCTTAAAATATATTAGAAAAAGAACTAAATAGCTGAAAAGATGAGTAAAAAATGCAGCTGAAGTTCTTCAGTTGTTGATACATTTATTTAAAGCTTCAGTTAATTATAGATTTACACTGTAAAGACAAACAAAAGTTTTACTTTAGTGTGTTGAACTTAATTTGTACCAGCTTTGAAACACTTGTTTTCCCGCTTAAGTTAGCTGTACTTTCTGTCCCCATTCTGAGTTGCACGCATAGGTTTTATATAAAACCTGTATAAGGTTTTATATATTTTTTATACTGAGAAACAGCCGACTGACATAAAGTCAAGAGTCCTCTGAGGAAAAGTAAAAAATTCTCCCTGCTTTCTTGAATAATTGTCCAGTTTTCAAATTATTTCAAGACATTTTTTTTTCAAATGCTGCAGCTATTGATATTTTTTCAGTCTATTCTCACACCAAGGATACCTCTTCAGCCTAACATCCTCTAAAATCAGTCTGCTGCTGTGATCACAGTTTGTATTCTTGTTTCTTAATGCTTATCATAATCCTGAAAAAATATTCCTGGAATTTATTACATGATCATAATTGGAGTAAATGACCCTACTCTCATTAATATTCCTGGCAGATTATTTAGATTTGTGAGCTAAATCTACATGATCGGCACTGTGTCCAACAAAAATGACTAATAATATTAAATTGACTAAGTAATACTTTTACATCCCTTGCAATTCCTTTGATGTCTCTAAATATCCTATCCCATCATCTCATTTATCATCAAATTTCAAACTTTCCCAAGCTTCCTAACACAGGTTCTGAATCCGCAGCGAATACTCTACAAATACTTGATGGCCTTGCCCAAAGTTCAAAAGTTCAACGAGCTCAGCAGCTTTAGGAGCTAATAAATTACATTTGAACATCTTTGATAGTCCATGAGGGCTTTCAGATATTTAAAGAACTGAGATCTAGGTATTTCAAACATCTTCAGATGTTTTCAGTACATCATTATAGCAAAGGTCAAATTTTGCAGTGAACCATGGTTAGCAGCTTTAGTTAGCACTCTGCTAAACATTTTGAAGTCAAGTGGAATTTTATTTCAGTTGAATCAACCAATAGTTGAGATTTTAAACATGTTGAACTCTTAATGTAATACCTTGGGGAGCTGAGCAAGGCTGAAGTAAAAGCATATAACCAGCTCAATTTATTGACCTAGAAAAAAAATTCTAAAGGTCTTTGACCCGGTCAATACCTGATTGGTCTAACATCATATACTATCTCCAAATCTCCATGGCATCCTGGGCTTTTACAGGCCAGAAATAGCTCTGGCATTTCACCACAACACAATACAGTATAGCAGCACAGAGCTTGAACTCAAGGCTGCAAGTTCACAAATATAATCTACACGTGCAAATAAATCATCAGCCATGACCGGTGGATCACATCTCAGACAGCTCCCACGAAAAACTTTCCATCGCTGTCGTGCAGTTGTTTCTCGCTCAGACACCATTTACTCCTGCTAATGCATTAATTGGCACTAGTTGGACTCATTTTGGTCTCTGGACATTAAGAGCTATTAACGTTATCTAGCTTTGACCAAACATGAGAGCCACTTATGAATGCCACGGGTTCCACTGTGGCCATGGCACAAACGTGCATAATAACGCACCGGCTTATCGGCAATGTGGTGATAAATATGAAGCTGCGAGAGCGTCGGACAGCTAAATAAAGTCAGTTTGACTTTGGAGCACTTCTTACGTAAATATCGAGCCTGTTGATGGCTGTGGACTTAGAGATGTGTTATTTATTAAATCAGAACATATTTTTGTTTCATTAAAGACATAAATCCTAACATTAACTATGGTGTAATGATACATACCCAATGCCAAATTCAGCATGATCTCTTGCTCCTCCACACTTCGTCCACGGAGAAGAGTGTACACGGTGCCGATGAGCCACGGGATGACATGACCGGAGAACTCGACCAGCCGGACCAAGGGCCGTATGCTGCCCCATGCAGACCCCTCACAGGCGCACACTCCGAGCCGTTTGGACAGCCATAGATCTATCGCCAGCAAAAACCGGAGCGTTACAGTAAATATCGGCTGACTCAGACTGACTGAAAAGTCTCCCGTTTGCGCTCCAGAGGCAAAGTAAGAACAGCTGGAGCTCCGACGACGGACTTGGTATTCAAAAGTTGCCCGGCTTCCACACGCAGCTCCACGGCAACTATTCCGCCTGGACCCTGGTGAGGACATTTTGGTTGGACAGTGCCGTAGGTCGTATCCGCTCTCCTTTATGGCCCCTGATGAGCTCGTAACATCCTGCCCGGTTTACAGGGGATAAATGGTACCAGTTTAGAACGGGACCGCTCTTGTCACGTGACAAGAATGAATCCACAAAACCGTGCTCGTTGAACGGGTCCGGTGTTGAGCTTTAGGCTTTTTCTTTAAACTTGGAAACCCAGCGAACACGTTATCACTTGTGAACCAGATAGCCCGCCTTGACTGTAAAGTTTGACTATTTTGTTAGTTGTGTCATAATAAACATTTCATAATAATAAATGTCTATATTCTCTTCACGACACCGGTCTGAGCGCAAAATGTGTCACAACTACGCCAAAGGCTCAGAGCGCAGCGCTTTTTATGAACCTAAATTGGGTCTATCATGCTGTGGCAGTGCGTGCGTGGTTTCCGCCTCTTTATTTTGCTCTGCCTGCTGTCACCAGACCTACTGCACACCGGACTAAACACTTCCACGGCCACAGCATGCCGGGGCTGCTGCTCGGAGACGTGTTTCCTGATTTCGAGGCAGAGACCACCACCGGCACAATTAAACTCCACGAATTTCTTGGTGATTCGTGAGTAGACTTTGTGACTTTTTATTTTTGACGCTGCAGGTTTACAGACTTATTGAGAATTCGCTTAAGAGCGGGGAGAGAGGGCGGGATGTAGTTCCTGTCATGGTTTTTCACTTCTGCTTTGAAATACTGCATGTGGCATTTTTAAAATCTGCATATTGTACCTATAATGACGGTATTGTGGTCTAAGTGCGATCTAAGTGTGTCTAAAACAACACTTTACCACTTAGTGCATCTATCAGTAATCATCTCTTTGTGAGACAGTGAAAGCCTTCTGATATTGAGAGCATCTGTAAGCTGAACGAATGAAATTGAGGTCAAACCTGAGAAAAAAACGCTCCTTTGAGTGATTATGTGCAGACCGCTGACCTCAAGGTGGAGAAAAACAACTTTGCCATCACTTTTGACAACTTTGCTAAACTCGTTTTACATCCTGTTGTCCTTTTGTGAAACCCAGAAACAAGCAGTAACACACACAATATCAAGAAATGCAGACTGATGCGGAGAGGAAACTGGGTCAGGATGAGGCCTCTTTTTTTCTGAGATCGAACTGAGCATGGTGGTAAATCTGACTCATTTCAGATGGGGAATCCTGTTCTCCCACCCCAGGGACTACACTCCTGTGTGCACCACAGAGCTGGGCCGAGCTGCCAGACTCAGCACTGAGTTCAGTAAACGCAACGTTAAAATGATCGCCCTATCAGTGGACTTCCTGGAAGATCACCACGGCTGGGCCAAGGTGTTGTAACTACATTTTATTTATTTATTTATTTGCTGCACACCTTTAAGTATTTAGAAGTATTGGAAAAACACATAAAGAAAGCAGGAAGTCGGTGCTAGCTGGTGAACTGTGCTCTAAGCTTGGTGATATTTCAGCATTCTGACTTCCCAGCTGAGCGTAGTTCTTTAAACAAGCCACAAGAGATTTGCAAGCCAAATGACATCGAGATATCTGGAGTAATGCTGGGCTAAATCTATGTGGGTATTTAGGATTTTCCAACAACATGCTGAAATAAATGAATCCTTCTGGGTTCACTCAAAACCTCACTCCTATTAAAATCTCAGGTTTCTCAAATGAACAATGAACATTGAGCCTGTGCAGGCCTGACTCCTATATATAGTGTGTGCGGAAACAATTTGCAACACAAATAAAGCTTCGACCACAAGCTGTGAATTTAAAACTGGGATGAAAGGTGTATGAACCATATTGAGGATCTATAGAAGGACGAGGCTTGTGATTATGGGATGTGTATGAATGCTGTGTGTTTAGAGAGGCTAAAAGTGAGACTATCTCAGCCGTGGCAACTTTTTTTACTGCTAGCACTCAATTTGATTACATCAGTTACAACTACTACATTTCCCTTGTGGGATCAATATAGTATCAATCTATATATCTTTGAGAAAGCCTGAAAACCCCTTGTGTGAAATTGTCTTCCTGCTTCAAATATTTGATGCTTTTTAAAAATATATATTGCACTTCAAAGTCTACCATGTTGCCTTTGCAACAGCTGTGAAATGAGCATCACTTCTCTTCCCAAGTATAAGGTTAAGTACTGTATACTACCTCCAAAGTTGTCAATCACAATGATTAATAGAAATAATAATCATTAATAATGTCTGTGAAATATCTACAATAGAACATCAAGGCACATAATCAGCAACCATCATTCCTGTGGCAAAATAGGATTATTATGTGAACAACCGCTGTTCAAAGACCACTGCGCACATTTACTCAGGGCCTTCTTGATGCGATGTTCTTCTGCTTCCCTGGCTGCTGTGTCTGTGGGGATGGTGTTGGCTCCGTGCTGTAGTGTCCTGATGACACCCAGTTTATGCTGCAGTGGATGATGAGCGTCAAACCTTAAATACTGATCCATATGTGTAGTTTTACATCAACTTTTAAATGTCCCTGATTACTAATGGAAATCTCACAGTCTAAGAAGGCTAACCTGCCACTTTTCATATCCTTCATATCCTTTTCACCTTTCCTTTTCGGTGTCTCAGATCCTCCTCCTCTCTTTCTCTTTCCATCCCTTCCCCTTGGCTAGCCACCATGGGGCTCTGCCCCCATTACTTCCCTCCCTCTTTTTAAGTCCAGACTCAAAACTCACCTGTTCACAACAGCCTATTCCACATAAGCTTTTCCATCCTGCTACTTTAATTTATTTTATTTATTTGCTCTATGTTTTATCCTTATATTTTTGTAAATTTTTGTTTGTTGTAATTGCTTGTGAACAGTGTCCTTGAGTGTTTTGAAAGGCGCTTTCTTAAATAAAATGTATTATTATTATCCTCCCTGGTAAATTTGATGTGTTGGTCCACCGAGTTAATGTGATCAGTGAATTGTGGCACATCTTAAGGTGTCATCACCATACCTGAACCAATGACATGGTGGTGTTCCAGGGTAGGATAACAAAGCCCTCTTTTCCACTTCTTCCATGTAAAAGTTGGCCACAATGGGTGAAACTGGGCAACCCATGGCACACCCATGTTTCTACCTGTAGTACTGACTCTTATATGTGAAATAGGTGGAATTAAAACACAGTTCCAAAAGCAAACACACGTGGTCGGTGCTGAGAGTGGTCCTGTTGCTGAGGTTGGTGTCATCCTGTAATCACTTACAAACTACCTCCACTGCTTCAGTGACTGGAATACAAGTGAAGAGAGATGTAACATCTCTCACCTTCTCTTTTTTTAATCTTTTTTTTTTAATAAGAAACGTATGAGAACACAAATAAACCGAAATAAACAAGTAATCGAAAATAAACAAACGGGTGTACCATCTAGTCATATATACATATATACA